AGTAAATACAGCAAATAATTTACCCATATTATGCAATATTGCTATATATAAACGAGTGAGTATGTCTCCCTAGCTGACAGTTGCCATTTATTCTAACCCCTCTGAGACTCGGGTGTATCATTTGGCTTACGATCACTTCTACCTCACCAAGAATGTTTTTCTTCCACAATTCATTGTCTTATACCGATTAATTTTCATATTTTTTATCTTTATTCATCCCTATACATATCTACGTTTATGTTGTCATTCTACGGAAATGTATCACTCCGAGTTCATCAGTGACCTTGAAGTTGAAATTAGGTTGCGCTACAATGTGAAATGGTATTTTAAAACAACAACGTATTCCACCCAACAATTCCCTATTATACTTTGCTTTCACAAACATCATGACCATTTTCCCAGATCTTGTTGTGTGTTATATGATGCCATTGTTATTGTACCTTGCCTGCCATGATCGTGCACCACATGCATGTCTCTCGTTGTAATCCGAGAAATATACCATTATTATTATTATTATTATTATTATTATTATTATTATTATCGTAGCCTAAGCTCGTCACAACAAGAAGATGAGGAACTTCTTCAGGCCTTGCCTGGAGTTGTCAGATCAGGATATCGTCTCTTGATTCTAGGTGATTTCAACGCGCCCACTGTCAACTGGGCACACCAATCATGTCGCGGAACTGGTTTTGATATGGTTCTGCTCAACACCATATCCGGTTTAGCCATGACGCAGCAAGTTATGGTACCTGCCAGGATAAAATCTGGACAAGTACGTTCCACTCTCGATCTCGTTCTAACGAGGAACGGCAATGATGTCACATGGATGGCGTTCAACAGGCCGCGAAGCTCCCAGTTTCTTGCCCGCTTTAAACATCTCCGCAACAAATCTAGCAAAGTAGCACGGCCAGCTAGACTCAAGTATGAACTAACCATAGCCAATGAGGCCTCGAAAAACCTCAAAAGATACTTTGGCTATGATCAAGCCCGGTCCTCATCAAGAAAAGTGATCGGCAATGCCCTTCACAATAATGGACAACTCTTGACCACCGACGAGGAAATTTCCGACTCATTGCTCGCTTCATTCCAACAGGTCTTTCGCCTGGATAGCTTGAACAACTGCGCTACACTCAATCGAGTGAGCGACATGTCAGATTTGGTGATCTCTACACCGGACGTGGAAAGAATCTTTGAGACTCTTAAAACCTCCAAATTCGCGGGTCCACATAATATCCATCAAGCCGTCTTAAAACCGATAGAATCCTTAGTGATCTCCCAACTAGTCACAATGTTCTAACATTGTCTGAACACGGGACGGATTCCGGAGAATTGGAAACATGCCACAGTTGTCCCAATCTTTAAAAGCGGTAACCAATCAGATCCGTCCACCCATCATCCAATCAGTCTCACCAGCATCGTTGCTAAGCTCCCGGAGCGTATTCTGCGNTTTACTTGATGTAGTAAAACAGAAATTAGATGAGAGAACGAAAGTCGAAGTGTGCTACCTGGACTTCCAGAAAGCATTCGACTCAGTTAACCACAGATTGTTAGACTTCAAGCTCCGGGAAACTAGGCTTACTCCGAAAGTCTGTAAGTGGATTAGAGCGTTCTTGTTCGGGCCTAACTGCAGGGTTCGTATGCGGGGATGTCTGTCGGAGGTGAGTTCCCCCACGAGCAGGGTGCAACATGGATGCATCCTAGCTCTTCTTCTCTTTCTAGTGTATGTCAATGACATAACGTCAGGTCCGGAGAACCCCTGCTTTTTGTACGCGGATGACATCAAATTAGTTGGATACCCGGACGACAGGTACTACTTGCAGAGTGATATCTTGGTCGCAAATATGAGACCTCCAACTGAACGCATTTGCAGAGTCATCTGCTAGCCAAAATAACGCATCCCGTCCCTCGACAGATCCTCACTGCGGTCGGAGCATATGTGACCCTAGCTTACAAATCAGAGGAAATGGACCTCGGGATAAAAGTCTCCAACACCTTTTCTCCGTCTCCTACCACTGTAGCGGCAGACTTGAAAACCAGACGAGCTCTCTTTAGACTCCGAACGATAATCACCAACCGTTACCCTTGTGTATTCATGCCCCTGTACACAGCCATCGTAAGGCCTCACCTCGAGTACTGTGGTCAGGCTTGGGCACCGTATCTCCAGAAGGACATCAAAGTTCTAGAAGACGTTCAGCGCCTAGCAACCCGGATCGTCTGGGGTCAAAAAGGACTCAACTATCGGGAAAGACTAAACTCCCTGAACCTGTTCTCTCTAGAACGCCGACGGATGAGGGGGGGACCTCATTGAAGTGTACAAAGCCACCAGGAACATAGAGCACTCCCCCATTAGGCACTTGTTCACCTTGCGGGCCAACAACATCCTCCAAAGGCACTGTCGCACACTTGAGAGAACCAGGTGCAGGCTACCAATTAGATATCACTTCTTTGCAAATAGAATAGTCTCTGAATGGAACAAATTACCAGCTCAAACGGTCGAATGTTTCACAACGAAGCATTTCAAACTAGAGTAAGACAAGGAGTGGTATCTCTTATTCCCAGATCTGCCCTAGGGATTAGTGTTCCTTTAGTTTACTGATGGAATGCATGTAACAGATACCGCACCGTCTCCCTTCCTTTCTATCTTACAGATATTTCTCCCTCGTGGAGAGTCGGAAGAAGCTTCACACTCGCAGGCGAGTAGGTCCACAACCGGAACCCACCATTACCAGGATACCCGACAAACGATGGCCTCTCTACTTCCTGTAATTTGAATTATAATTTCAATTTGAGTTCGTATTGGTACTGGTTTGACCGTTCCGGAGTTATCCGGAATGAGAGAAAGATTAGAGAAATGGTGCAGCCTCTGTGTTTCGGGGGTCAAAGTGAGTTATCATTAGCATAAGTCCGGAAGAAGGTAGCTCCGCGCTAGGCCTACTCTCGATTACCGTTATAGACCGATCGAAATGACACTGCAGCGGTTCTTCAACCGACAGTTTCGCAACGGCAGTTTTCTTTTCTTGCCTCTTGTTCTTCTTGAAGTTTCCTGATAGATCCTTTCAAGCTGGTCGTGATTATCAAATCACGTACCAGAAGTACTTTCACCCTACACTAGTGCTCAGCAAAAGGATGGGTTCAGTTTCCAACCAGTCATGCGTAATTGAGGATTATCAGGACATGGTTACATAACCGTGGCATACTTATCAGAACCATTAGGTTCAGGTATCAAGTAGCGACTTAGCCTTTCGATCAGGTAGCTAAACTACCGCTCTGTTTTTCCTTCTTACTTAAGGATCGTTCTCCGCCGGACACAATCAAGTGTACCGTCGAGATGTAGCATGTATCGCCATTATTTGGCGATAGCTATCTTCCAGGGAAAGTTTCTTAATTATATATAGCAACTTGGACATTTCCAAGATCAAGTTTTTCTTTAACTATTATCGTTCTTTTAATGAGCTCGAAAAGCGTGCACCGACACAATTCCCCACGGTGAGCTCTGTATCGCACGCTTTCGTTGCATTGATCAGATCTACTTTCAGGTTTCCGCTGCCGTTGCTTAAATAACGGTCTAGGCCTAACTGAACCTACTTCCAATTTTTCAAAAGATTCAGAATATATCGTTTTCTACAAACCCAATCTTTGATTCTCTTTCCTTTTGGGACGGATGTTCAAAACGAACTTGAGCAAACATTGTATTTCATGCTGAATTTTTTGAAAATCCTTCCGAACCCATATTGATTTATGGTGAAATAACTTTACCTGTGTGTTTCTCTTATACTGACATTTCTCGATCGCAAACATCATACATCATTATTTATCTGTTAATTTGGATACCCGGCACATTTGAATTTGGCGTGGTTTGAGAACGGGAGCGACCGTTTGCCTCTCTCTGGACATCTTATTTGGCTCGCTTGTTTGAGTACTTTTGGCTGCATATTTGAGGTTTGCTTCATTGTACATTTTGTAATGATTTCGTTAGTTCAGTACCGTAAAACATTGCGGATCAATTGTGTTTTTACTTCGGGATTCGTATCGGTTCGGCTACGCGTCACTCGAGTGCGAATTGGTTGACGTACAAATATTAGTAACTGGTTCTGACGAACATCAGCCACCCACCGAGTCACTGAATTGGTGAACACGCAGGCAACTGCCTCCCTTCATTTTCGGCAATTATCAGATTTTGGTGAGTCCGTTCCATATCTTTGGAAGTTTTGAACAATGTTCTATTCGTTTAGAAATTTTCAGTGAATTTCTGTGGTATGTTTACTTTACCATCATCGCTATCTGAACTCTACATTTTCTGACAGAGTTGTTTGGTGATTGCATATTCTATATACGATTATTCATTGTTCTTACTTTCGTCATGGATATGTTAGGTTTATCCGACGAACCTGCTCCCGTGATGGCTGCCACATTCTAGCCCCCTCCGTATTGGGTATTCAACCCTAGGGCATGGTCTGCGGTTGTGGAATCGCAGTGTGAAACTACGAACATTAGGTCGTTCATTACATCGTTTCCTCGCTGCCTGAACACATGGTAGCCGAGGTCGTGGACGTAGTATCAGAGCTTCTCGAAGATGGGCCGTTAGAAGCCCTACGAGATGCCATATTAGAACGCACGGAAAGCTTTAACAAAGAGCGAATCCGACGCGTACTACACGATATGTCTTTAGACGACCACAAGCCTTCGCGACTTTATAGGCCCATGCGTAAAGAGATGGGCAATATCTTACATGACAATGCGTTCGCCAAGGAACTGTGATTACAAAAGTTACCACAGGACGTTCAATTCCTTCTTGTGCCAGCACCAGACATGCCCATAGAGCATTTGTCGGTTATGGAAGATCATGCCATGTAATACCGTGAACCCTCAGTCGCCGCGGTTACCCCCCACAGTCCCTCCAGCCACATCTGTTGACGGCCTCTTTCAGGCATTATTCAAAACACTTAGTAATTTCAACACGGGTTGAAAGTATAGAGGCGCCTGCTTTAGTGGAAAACCGCAATGAAGCAGTCGCCATAGGTCTAAATCGCCCACCAATAGTCAGAGGTTATGTTGATACCATGCACGCTTTGGTAAAAGTGCTGCCAAATGCATCTACCCGTGCTCGTGGAAAGATCAAACTCCTTTGGAAACGCGTGTAACAGATACTGTGCCGTCCCCCTTCCCTTCTACCTTACAGATATTACTCCCTCGTCGAGAGTCGGAAGAAGCTTTACACTCGCAGGCAAGTAGGTCCATAACGGGAACTCGCAATTACCAGGATACCCAACAAACGAAGGCCTCTCTACTTCCTGTGATTTGAATTTGAAATTGAGTGTTTATAGCATGTTATCGCTACTACAGTAGCGATTATGATATTTCAGAAAAGCCTCCTTGGAACCTCCCTATTCTTGCTGTAATAGCATACCCGGGCACATCGCCCCAAGACCAGAGCTAGCAAACGAGAACCCATGTCTAATTCAACATTTTTTTCGTCCCCTTAGTTGATGTTCTCAGTGATGCTGTCAAAGTAACGCATAAGATTTTAAGCAACATCGCAAACCTCAGAACAGTAGGCTAGAGTTCCTAGAACTAGTCAGCTCGACTCTAGCTCGATTGGTTTTCCTCCTAAACCCGTCGTCCCAACCTGTGAGCACCCGCGCCCAATCAGGGCTGTTGCTTGATTCTCTAGCCTCTGAAAGTTTTAAGCGCATTTCAGACTAAAAAAACGCAGTTGTATTCAATGTTCTTGACAAAATTCCTCCAGCTCAGATCAAGGACATAATCTCGAGAGCTTCAAATAAGGACTGGTGCCCGGCAAACTTATCCGACTCCGGAATGACGTGAATGACGTCAATCAAATTGGTATAGCATGAGTGTTAATGAACCCAGATGTTGATTAGCCGAATATTAAGCCCAAGCGCTCCGATTCGATCATGTTGCCAATGAACTCAAATGTCCATTAACTGGTATATTCAGTTGTGGCTCATTCCGCTCCGAGTTATTCATTTACAAATAACCCACTGCCGATTGCGTCCGTGAATTTGATATTTTTTGTTGAGGTGTAAAAGCATCAAAGTTGTGCTCAAAATGTTTCAGTCAACTTGAATAGCCGGACATTCAGGATTGTGTGTTTGTGGACTGTAAGGTGGGTGACGTTACAGAAAGTGTTCGTTTGAAGTATCGAATGTTTTAGAGAGATAAACATAAACAAGAGGAGCACATTTTTGAGGAAAATGAGGAGTATAAATTAGAAGCCAAGGGTTCAAAGATAAGCACCAATGATAAGAGATTAACTAAATCGTCTCAATAAGCGGGAAAAAGGGGAAGATCGCAAAGTACAATAGGCCAATGAAACACATCATTTCCTGGAGTCAACCAATTACATAGTGACCACCAGAAACATCGTCAAGACCCCTGCTATGGTGGATGTTTCGGACATCTTGTCTGAACGATCCATTAGTGGTTTTTACCTCCACTCCTCTCACGATTTCATCCGTGCTCGTTTTGGTTTGTTGTGTAAGGTCCAAAGGCCATTCATTTTGTTTTTTTCCTTTACTAATAATACCGAATCTCCCGTTGAAAGTCCCTCTGCCTTATATACCACTTGGATCTGACTTGGAGTAATAGCAAGTATTCCCTCGTCCACCGTTTCCGGAAGCAAACTGCGATATCCTGCACTTCACGCCATCTGCGGTTATAACGGTCTACTTTGGTTTTCACCTCAGAACTCGAACTACACCGCCCTATAATGAGCTACACCTGTGGCGTGAGTGTTTTGCAGACTTGCGGATCGACTTGTTGCGGAACGAACGATCCATTATTTATTATCAGTTCAGCCTCTAACAGGGCCATCAGTAACACTTCATTCGTCACCTGTTTTACACTACGGAGAGACGTCAGTATTCTCTTTATTACCTTAATTAGCTTTTCCTAAACTCCCCTCGATGACTGGCGCTCGAAGGATTGAAGTGCCACTGTACAGCGTCCTTGAGGAGATGATTGTGTATTTTATCCTGAGACCAACATCGCAAACAAGTTCTCAGTAAATTGGTCACTATGACAAAATTCGATCCATTATCACTGAATATGTGTTCTGGTTTGCTTATGCGAGCTATGAGCTGGTCCAGGGCCATGATGAATGATTAGCTTGNTTGAGAATGAGTGCGCTACCCCTTGATGTACTGCTCTCGTGGTCATGCAGCTGAAGATACATACGTATCTTTTCTCCACAGACCGTCCTCGCCTAACATAAAATGGCCCAAAATAGACAAGACCAACCAAGTGAAATGATGGCGGTTGGCTACTCATTCTATTTATAGGCACTGG